AATGATACATCCAACGCAAGTGTAACATATTTTTTTAGTTTATGTCCAGCTGTAATTATTATAATATAAAATTTAATATCCAAACTAGCTTTTTGTAAATTTTGTCATCACATGAGACAAAGACGTGAGAAAATATATATTTTGGTAAATATAAAATTAAAATATTAGGATTGGTGAGGAAATTTTAATTTATTTTGGAATTTAAATGATCTAGTATATCTGGAGAAAATAAGTGACCCATACCCAATTAGCCATAGCCCCATACGTTCTATCCATTCGAATTTAACGTTACTGGCTACGTCATGTGACAATAATTGCTACCAAGTAGGTTCCACGAGAAAACGTGATTTTCATTACAAAATGACGAAGCGAAAAGTATTGTCAACAAATAATTCGATATTTAATTCCATTTTTGGTTGCCGGGAAAAAATCCGATTAATTGTCAAGTGCTGTCTTTTTACTTAAATACAATCCTGTTGTAAACATAAAAAAAAAAAAGAGTATAAAGGAAAAAAGTATAAATATTACTATAAAGGTTTGAAGATAATATATATAATTAGAATTTCTTTTAAAGGAAATCTTAATTTAATTAAACTGGTTTCTTGGAGAAGTAACAAGTATTCTCACATGTGCAAAACTTTTCAGTTGTCACTCATTCCAATATCCAAGGGCATTTGAGATAACCTCGTAATGGTATCTACATATACATTTTTACAGGGTTTTTTTGCATAAACTCTTTTGAATCCGGGTTTTACCCGGTTTAATTATATTCAGATCCTAGATAAGACAATTAAGGAAGTTTGTAATAAATAAATAAACGACATTATCTCTTTAATCACTCATTTAAACTCTTTTCCTTAACTTCTTCCCACATTAATAGGTTCTTTTTTTCTATAATCTATATTCGGATATTTTTTCTCTCAACTAATTACTCCCTAACATATCTTAAACAAACGACACAATCTCTAAAAATATCTCAACAATCCTCATTTCATCTCTATTTAAGTTAATAATTTGAAATCAAAAACGATTTTCACATATTTGCCAAAATTCTAGCCACAATCTTCCTAAAAATCTACATTATCCTTATTTCTTCCAAACAAAAATATTCATACCGAGTAATTTAAAGAAATTATTTACTACTATACAAAATCGGAACTGCAGCATATTCCTAAAATAAATCGATTACAAAGATTTGATTCGAATTTAGTTAAGGTTGCAAAGATATTTTCCTTCGCTACCACGAATTTCGTAACCTAATCGTCACACGCCTATATATACTCATTAGCTTCACCTTTCATCACACCATCGAACACACAAAGCATTTGCCCACCTAATCGGGGCCTAGGCGATTTTTTAGGCGGTTTAGACGTTTATAACATAAAATATTATAAATATGATATTATATATAAAAGTTATATAAAATATCTATATAAAACTAAAAATTATGAAATTATAAACAAAAATTAGATAAAACATTTATTTATATTTACATTATCCTTATTTCTTCCAAACAAAAATATTCATACCGAGTAATTTAAAGAAATTATTTACTACTATACAAAATCGGAACTGTGTAATTTTAGGCGGTCAAGGCGGTTATCTAGGCGTCGCATAAGAGCCTAGCGCCTAGTCGGGGCCTAGGCGACCGCCTAGACCGCTTTTTAGAACACTGTCACACGCCTATATATACTCATTAGCTTCACCTTTCATCACACCATCGAACACACAAAGCATTTGCCCACCAAATGTTGTTTTCAAGGAGGTTTTCCAGAATATCAACTGACTCGCTTATTGCCAAAAAGTTTTGACAATAGCCTCCGAGAAGGTATGTAAACCTTAACTTTATTTTCTGTGTATTTCAATTATGGTTTGAAAAAAAAAAACCATTCAGTAATGTAAAAGCTAAACATGTGTCAATTTATAATTGCAGGTGACTCATTGCCAATCAATTGAGTCAAAGTAAAGCAAAGAATCAACCATATCTTTTTCAACGACATGAAGAACTGTTTATGTTTTTTCAATTTAGTCAAACAGTGATATGGCGAGGTGTACCCAATTTCATTATATATTTTATCTACCAACATTGAAAAGATTACTATTCTATATGCACGTATTTGTTTTAGCTGACTGAATGTTATTTATTTACTAACCTGTATAAACTCTAACTTGATCCCGCATATCGGTACGGTACCTCCAATAACTTTGTTGGCTCTCTTCTTTTTCTCCACCAGTGAATAGAATGAGTTAAGAGCTATATCAATAGTAAGTATAATCATTGATATGTTATGTGTAGTAATAAAGATAGTATTAGTGTTTCTTTGCTTTTTAATTTCATTATGTAAGTTATCTATCTAATGCTCTAGACATATTTTGATTAGACATCAGTATTTCGACCAATCAACACTGAAAACTAATAAATTATAATCTTCTACTATCCCATATTCCTTACAACTTATGGTTCTGTTATTTGTTACTAACCTTTGTGGCAGAGACAAATTATGAAGTTTTAATGCTACTTTGATTAGTTGTTTCATAGACTTTACTCTCACCTGCGAAGAAAAGCATAATGTTCTTTAGTTTCACAATTTAGATAGTATAAATAGCACATTATAGGATGAAAGATAATGAATACTTATCTTCCTAATCGTAAACATTTTTATAGTTATCGCCATCGCCTAGATATGCACTTTGTTATTAGCTTGGCTAGACAATCCTATGATGTAAAGTAGTTAGCATAGTTTGGAGAAAGCTAACATGTATGGGGTTTTTTGCTTTATCTATAGCTAACATGTTATTCGCTTCAAATGCATATAACAAATAAATAAAAATCCACTAGATAAAAAATTCAGAGAAAGCTTATACTAACACAAAGCTTCTTAGAGCTCCTTACAAAAACCTTGAGATTATCCATTGTCTCCTGGTGATATAATCAGCATCTCCCCAACTGAAATCGACTGGAGCCACTAATGACAGAACCATGAGTAAGTTATCAGTGAAATCGAACCCAAATCAAGTTAGCAAACTGGAAAAACACAAACAGTTGGGGGCGATGGTTAGTACCAGACATGCCGGTTTTGAGACAGCCGGATAGAGCCTCGACGGATCGGTATTTGGGACCGAGAGTTCCGACGATCTGAGTCAATGCGGGAAGAAATTTTGAGAAATACATATAAAAAAAAGATCAGAGGAACCTCTACAAACAAATTGAATGCTTGGTGGGCAATCGATCCATGCGAAATTGCAAATCGATTAAGAACGGGATACTAAAGCATCGAGCAGTAAGAGAGCTCACCGATTTGAAAGGCTTGAGGATTGAAGCCATCATGATCGGTTCCTCGAGAAGAAGATTGCTCGAATGCATCTTCGGTGATGGAAGTGGAGAGACATCTCACATGTTCGACGGCGACGGGAGAAAAACGCAGAGTGAAAATTCGACGGAAGAGGTTTGGTGATTGTAAAGACTTGCCGTCGAACATATCGCCGACTGGTTTCAGATATTTATTTCCACTTTTTTTTTTCCACCAAACGACTGATTTGATGCTTCACTAAACACTATGGTTTGTTCATATTTGGTCATTCTCATGTATTTACTGGACTTAACCCATAAACCTGCCGGGGCTGTAATAGTTTTATTTTTTAAAGTCCAATTGCAAACCTTTTATCCAAAAAAAACATTTTTTTTATATATGTATAATTTGATGTAGGTAAATTTATTTTAGTAAAAGAACTGAATTAATTTTATATTATTTAATTTGATATAGTTATATTTATCAAATTTTAAGTAATTCGTTTTCCAAATATATTTATTTTAAAGTACATTAATTAAATTATGGTTACTTTAATATTCCTTCTTTAACAAACTCATTTTGCTATTTTACATACTATAAACCAAACTCATGTTGGTAATAAATAATTTGTTTAGTTATAAATTAGATTAACCACAAAAAAAAATTATTAGCAAAGATATAAAGATTATTTATGTATACTGAATAATATGTTGTTTTAGATTATTATGCAATTTACTCATAATCTTTATTAATGAGGACAACATTTTTTTTTCCTTGATGAAATATGTAAAGTCAAGAATGTTAATATATTCAAACCTAACACAAAAAAGATTCAAACTATATCCGCCATATATCGTTACTTAATGAATTTATGTTTTTGTATTTATATTTTAAAAATTAAAACGTAAAACATACTAACTGTACACTATATATAATATATAGATATATATATATATATATGTATATTTAAAAAAACACAAAATGATAGTTTATATCTATAGATAATCTTCAAAAAAATTACATTTTAATTTTTTTTTTAATATAGTCTCGCGGTATACCGTGGTAATGAACTATATAATTTTCTCTATCTCTATATTTTCAAAAATGAACTTAAAATATACTAATCCTACAATATATAGATATATACATATCTCTATATATACATTTAAATATAAAAAACAATAATATATATAAAAGAAAGCCTTAAAATAAAAGATATTAATTTTTTTATTTAATAAAAATATAGGCCCGCGGTTTACCGCGGGTTAACATCTAGTATTTAATTAAACATATCTCACTCTTTTTTGTTAAAGATATATCATTCTTTAACCATGTGATTTTAAGGAGATGAAAGGAAAAAGACAAGAGAAATTATTAGATAAAATATTTAGGTTAATTCCATTAAACCCTCAACAATTAGTTTAAATAAATAATATAGCAAAGAAGATATAATTTTCTAGAAAAAAAAAAACAATCTATGATAGATTGATAGATAGTATAACTATAACTTTAACAAAACAAATATAATTCGTCTCATTTCGTGGTCAGTGAACCAGTGAGCGCTTTGAATAATTCACTTCTTAAAAACGAGGTAAAAAGTAAAAATTAACAGCAGACAAGAATCAGATAAAATTTCAAAAAATCATACAACAATAAAACCTAAAAAAAAAAGACTTGAGACCTGTAAGAACATGTTTGAGTTTGACTGACCTCAAGGTCTCCAAGAAGCCTCCAATGGCTGTCCAACCAGAATAATTCAAACCTTCACACACAAAAAAAAATAAAAAAGCCTCAAAAGCAAAAAAAAAACCAGAAAAAGAAAGAAGTCAAACTCTTTAGATGTATCTGTGTTGGATCTCATAAGCCTCCATCAGTTCTTGTCTGTTCCAACAAATCAATTTGAAGATGGTGACCGCAATCCCAAAGCCTATCAAGGACATTTGGGACGAATGGAGCATTCGAAGTACCTTAATCTTCAGTCTCAGCCTTCAAACATTTCTCATTTTCTTTGCACCTCAAAGAAAACGCTCATCCAAAAAAGCTTTACTCTTTCTCATTTGGTCAGCTTACCTTCTTGCTGATTGGTCGGCCAATTTCGCCGCCGGACAAATCTCAGACAGTCAAGGAAATGATCCAAAACCCGGAGACCCGAAAAAGAGCGCCGAATTGTTTGCTTTCTGGGTTCCTTTCTTGCTCTTGCATCTCGGTGGTCCAGATACAATCACTGCCCTTGCCCTTGAAGATAACGAGCTATGGCTCAGGCACTTGTTGGGTCTTTTCTTTCAATCCGTTGCAACCGTTTACGTGCTTTTGCAATCGCTACCCAATGCTCTTTGGAAAGCCACTTTGCTGGTGTTTGCGACCGGAGTGATCAAGTATGTCGAGAGGACTTTAGCTTTGTACCTGGCGAGTCTTGACAAGTTCAAGGATTCCATGATTCAGCGGCCTGATCCTGGACCAAACTACGCGAAGCTCATGGAAGAATACGCAGCCAAGAAAGATATGAAGATGCCTACACAGATTATCAAGATTGGAGAGCCTGAGAAAGATCCAAAAGCCAGTGCTCAGGTCAGGCCTGAAAAGCTGACTCCACTCAATATTCTCCAGTACGCCTATAAGTACTTCAATATCTTTAAAGGTCTTGTGGTTGATCTCATCTTTACATTTCAACAACGAGCTGAGAGCAAGAGATTCTTTGACTCGCTGGAAGCACATGAAGCTTTAAGAATCTTAGAGGTTGAGCTCAACTTTATCTACGCAGCTCTGTACACGAAAGCCGAGATCTTGCATAATTGGATAGGATTCATCTTCAGGTTCATTGCCCTGGGATGCCTTATAGCAGCTCTACGCATCTTTCAATACAAGAGCAAGAAAGATTATAGTGGATTTGATGTTGGCCTTACTTACGCATTGCTGTTAGGAGGAATAGCTCTGGATTCCATCGCCCTTATCATGTTCTGTGCATCTGATTGGACGTTTGTCAGATTGAGGAAGATGAAGGATGAGGTGGACGATCCAGACACCTGGTCCGACCACATTCTTAACTGGATTCTTAACAACATTCTCGGGGTCAGGGAGTTGAAGACGGAGGAATATGATAAATGCTACAAGAAGACACTGTCTCATGAAGTGCCTGGCACGAGTACCAAGAAAACACCGTTTCTTAATTGGATTCTCTGGGTCAGGAAGTTGAAGACAGAGAAGTCTCATGAAGTTCTCGACAAGAGTACCAGCGAAACACCAGGTCTTGAAGTGCCCGACAAGAGTGCCAAGAAAATACCATGTCATAGAGTACTCGACACGAGTTTCATGTATCGCAGGTGGTCTGAGTATGTACATGCACACAACCTGATCGAATACTGCTTATGTTTAAAACCGAAGCGAATCCACCATACCAAGGGTTTGATACACATCGCCTTTGACAAGCTTATCAACATCCTTTACATTGGCCCCACATTCACAAAATTTGGAAGTGTCATTCAATCCTGTTTTAGAGTCACAAAAAAGACAATTCATCAGACTTTCAAGTGGATTGACGGTAAAATAAGTCGCTTCTGCAAGAATCACCCAAAGTGGAATGAAGAGTACATTAGGTTAAGCTTCGTCTGCATATTTTTCTTTCCTAGTCTACCTGGACGCGGGATAAAAAGATTTATGGAGTTCTTTGGCATCCGAGCTCAGCTAGATGAGGTGTTCTACACATCCAGTGATCGCCTCACCCTGGATATGTGGGAACACATATTCAGAGAGGTTAAAGCCAAATCCCGTTTTGCTGACGACTCTGAAAGCGCCATGAGGGTATCTTCAGCTAGAGGTGACTGGACTCTGCGCGACATACAAGGTGACCCAGAAACAGAAAAAAAACGTGATAAACTTCTACGCTATGTGATGGAAATGGATTATGATCAGAGCCTTCTTGTATGGCATATTGCCACTGAGCTCTTATACCAGACAGAAGACGGCACTGAAGCGAATCATAGCAACCGTGAGTACAGTAAAATTCTCTCAGACTACATGATGTACCTCCTAATGATGCAACCCACTCTGATGTCAGCTGTTGTGGGTATTGGAAAGATAAGATTCAGAGACACATGCGAGGAGGCTCAGAGGTTCTTCGATAGGAGGCATATCATGGGGATATCCGCAAAGAAGGCCCCTAAGGAAGCCAGCGACGCAATTTTATCTGTGGCGGTTCCAGTAAAAGCTGAGCCCATTGACGTGAAAGGAGATAGAAGCAAATCCGTCCTGTTTGATGGGGCCATGCTGGCGAAAGAGCTTAAGGGTTTAAGCAAGAACAAGGAGAACAACACAGAGATGTGGGAAATAGTGAGCAAAGTGTGGGTTGAGTTGCTTTCTTATGCAGCGACAAAGTGTGGCGCTATAGAACACGCAGCTCAGCTAAGCAAAGGAGGAGAACTCATAAGCTTTGTTTGGCTATTGATGGCTCATTTTGGACTAGGAGACCAATTCCAAATCAACCAAGGAGATGCCAGAGCCAAACTGATTATAGGCAAGTGATCATCATCGAATAAGCAACAAAAGTAGCAGCAACATTAGTTTCCCTCATTTGCTTCCACTGTGTTTTTTGTTTTAAAGAGTTATGTCTTGAACTGTTTGCAGCTATCATACCATTGCCAGTAAAACTATCTGTTCTTGAATCATCTGCATTGTTGTAACTCATGTCCTTCTTCTGTCACTGATACATTCATTTATGTGAGCTTGATTGATTCCACTGATACTCTATACAACCAAAAAAGACAACTCTCTCTGTAAACAAGGACCTTCAAATTCCAATTAGAAGCACTAGAACAAGAATATAAGCTCTTTGAATCCACCATTTATGAAGCAGCAATCGTGAACATCATCCGATCAGAGAAAAACTTTAGAATCAGAAGTGAAGCAACCATTCTAGATTTTGTCCTGAACTCTCAATAAAATTGTTTCCAACGGTAAAAAAAATTTCCATCTGTACAAAACATAAATACAGTAAAATTCGTTAGTATGTTTAAAATAAAATAACTCCAGATGTGAACTCTTCACGAAAACATTAATTTAACGAAATTATTAGTTGGACTAATTTAATGTATTGGTTGAAGAGTTTCAAAACTCAATTTTATGTACAGAATTTCATTAAATGAACCTCAAATAATTTATTTAGTAGACAAGAAAAGTGTATATATATATATATATATATATATATATATATATATATATGTAAATAAATTCTGCCAGCTATAGAAGTATGGTTGAATCTTCATTATTTCTTTTGGTCAATGCCTCAATCAATAGTCACTAAATAATGAATGACTCAACTTAAGAAAAGACTAACCCGGGACAGTCTTTAAAATAACATAAGTTATAACTATGGTTAAACCTAATAATATTATTATAACCATCCCAAACATCATAGTCTAACCATTCAAATCTGAGTTTAGTGGATTATTGTATACTTTTACTAAAACGACGCGAGCTCAACTAACTATTATTCAACATATATATATATATATATATATATATATATATATATCTCACCAAAAAAAAAACATGTATATATATATATATATATTTTTTTTTTGATCAACTATTCAACATATTTATTAGTATCAAAATATGAATAAAAAAAAGACCAATAGCTAAGAGCAACATTATTGGTAGTCTCTTAATATTGGCTCTTAGCATTAGATGATGGACACTTAGCTAAGAAACACTTTTTAACCCACCAAATGTCTCTTAGCTAAGAGACATTCTTAACAATTTTAAGATATTTGCTTTATTTTTATCTATTTTAAGCTAAAAATTTTTTCTAAGATCTTCCTAAGAGACTACCATTAATGATGGTCTAAGTCGTCTCTGAACCCCCCGCCAAAAACAAAAATGACTAATTTTGATTAAAAAAAGAAATTAAAGAATATTTTTACGGTTTGCATACCAACAGTAACTTTTTTAATAAACAAATTGCAAGAATAATTGACGAAAATGCAAATTACAAAAATTATTATTTTGCAAAATAAATAAATAAATATTACCTGAGTTGCTGAGTCGTCTTTCTTCTTCTTCCCCCAGTGAGCTTCTGGTAAAAAAAAAATATATACAAAAAAAGAACAACATCAATGGCTTCCCAAAAACATTCCACAAACCCCAAAGTTTTCAAGTAAATCTGAGAAAAAAATATCTCAATAACCAGAAGAGAGAGAGAGAGAGAAACAAAGAGAAGAACCACATCAAGAGAGAGAAAAGAAAGAACCCCAAATTTCTCAAGTGAATCCAAGAGAGAGAAAGAGAGAGAAGGAAGAAGCTCTATCTTTTTTCCTCAGAGAGAGCAAAAATGGTGAACGTGATACCAAAACACATCAAAGATGTTTGGGACAGATGGAACATAAGAGGAGCAGTCATTCTAAGTCTTACCCTTCAAGCCATTCTCATTTGCTTCTCTCCTCTAAGGAAACGCACACCAAGAAGGCTCTTGATCGTGCTCGTTTGGTCCTCTTATCTCTTAGCAGATTGGTCTGCTAATTTCGCTGTTGGTCTCATCTCCAAGAACCAAGGTAAAGATCTCAAACCTGGTGCCCCTCCACAGGACAAAAAGCTCATGGCTTTATGGGCACCATTCTTGCTCTTGCATCTTGGTGGACCAGATACAATCACAGCTTTCGCGCTTGAAGATAACGCTCTCTGGCTCCGACATGTCTTTGGGCTTGTCTTTCAGGCAATTGCTGGTGTCTATGTCGTTCTCATGTCTCTCCCCAATAGCCTTTGGGTGATTATACTATTAGTGTTCGTTTCTGGGACTATAAAGTATCTGGAGAGGACAACGGCTTTGTATAGTGCCAGTTTGGACAAGTTTAGGGACTCTATGATTCAAGCACCAGATCCAGGACCAAACTACGCCAAGCTCATGGAGGAGTACAAGGCCAAGAAAGAGGCAAGACTACCCACCAAGATCATTCTGATTGATGAGCCTGACAAAGAAAATAGGCCTAAGAAGTTAGAGCATCCATCACTGGCCTCGGACACAAAAAGAAAAGATTTGACTCATCTTGAGATTGCTCAGTATGCTTACAAATTCTTCAACACATTCAAGGGCCTTGTGGTCAACCTTATCTTCAGCTTCAGGGAGCGCGACGAGAGCCTAGAGATCTTTGAGAATTTGAATGATTCAGAGGAAGCTTTGAGGATCATTGAGATTGAGCTTGGTTTCCTTTATGATGCTCTATTCACCAAGATCGCGGTTCTTCATACCTTTATTGGAACTGTCTCACGCATCCTTGCTTCTGGCACCCTGGTGGCTGCATTCATCCTCTTTCATAAGAAACCCAAGAAAGACATACAATTTCATGGTGCTGATGTTGTGGTTACCTACACGCTGTTTGCAGTTGGTGTAGCTTTGGATTTCATATCCATCCTCTTGTTTCTGTTCTCCGACTGGACGTGTGCTGCACTACGTAGCTTAAAGGACAACCCCGACAAGGCTCTATCGTCCTCGATAGATAAGGTTTTCAACTGGTTACTTAGTATAAGACAGCTGCGTTGGAAGACGCAAGAATGCCACGGGAAAGGTACGCATAAGTGTACCGCCTGTCTTAAAAAAGATTATAAAAAGTGTTCAACAGTGCAGAAGCATGAGGTGCTCTCGACGCCATTCTTCTTCCGGAGGTGGTGTGGAAGCATCAATGTATTCAACTTTTTAGCGTATGCCACAAAAGCAGAAGTAAATCGGATCCACGATGCCAGAGGTAGTTTCCGCCGCTACTCATGGAACATCATAGCTTTCCCATTCGAAAAACTCAACTTCATCATCCAAACACTTCGACGATGGATTGTCAATTTCATCAATTATGTGCACAAGTGGATCAGCCACAAAGTCAATGCATTATCAAGAAAATCTTCTTTTGCTCGTCGTTGGATTTACCCTATCTACTTCAAGTTCCTATCCCGCATCCCTCATTTCATCAAATCTGTGTGGGATATCCTCAGCGAGCTCTTCGACATCTCGGATACGCTTGATAAGGTCCACAAGACGCTATTTGTACACGGAGAGCCCATGACGAAAGAATTGTGGACGTTCATGTTTGAAGAGCTGAGAAACAAATCAAAGTATGGAGACAGTCCTGAAAATGCCAAAAGGATATCTTTGGCTCGGGGAGAATGGACTTTAAGAGAGAACCTGCCAGAGGATGCAGAACGTGAAAAACTGGTACGCTATGTCACAAAGGTCGATTATGATCAGAGTCTTTTGATGTGGCACATCGCAACTGAGCTCTGTTACCAACAACATGAGAAAGAGACTATCCCAGAGGGCTATGATGAACAATGCAAGCATTACAGTAACCGCGAGTTCAGCAAAATCATCTCAGACTACATGATGTATCTCCTGATCTTGCAACCCGGTCTGATGTCCGAGGTTGCTGGAATTGGGAAGATCAGATTCAGAGACACATTGGCTGAAGCTGACAAGTTTTTCCAGAGGAGGCATATCGAGGACAAGAGAAGCGTGAAGATAGCCACCATAAATATTCTAGACGTCGAAACTGGATTTGAACCAATGGACGTGAAGGGAGATCGAAGCAAGTCTGTGTTGTTTGACGCGAGCAAGCTAGCCAAAGACCTTGCGGAGATGGAGAAGACGCACAAGAAAGACAAATGGGAGATACTGAGTAAAGTGTGGGTGGAACTTCTCTGTCATGCAGCTTGTCATTGCGACGCTACGGCTCACGTAGAGCAACTCAGCAGAGGAGGTGAGCTCATAAACTTCGTGTGGCTTCTAATGGCTCACTTTGGACTAACAGATCAGTTCCAGATCAACAAAGGAGATGCCAGAGCCAAACTCATTATAGGAAAGTGAGAGTGAGCAAGAAACAACATTTCCCAGTATCTAAAATTCATTCTGCATTTTTATTCCTGTCTACTTTCTCCTCAAAACAATGAACTTTTTTCTGCATAATGACATTTGTATGCTTTTTGTGATGAAAAATGATCCGAAATATCCTTTCATATTCCAACAAAAGTTATGAGATTGCTTTAAGATCATTCTAGCTGAGTCCAGATTACACATTTCAAACCTGCGAAAGATGAGTGAAGTATCTATCTCACTGTACCTCAACCAATGGAGATTCTGACCTTGAAACCAACAACACACAGACATAGCCTAGAGATGTTGCAATGTGCAGAGTCGAATCAATCTAATTGATCTTCGATACGACTGAAGAATGAAGAAGAACCACACAATCAAATCCACTGAAATCAAAACCCCAAACGCAAATTGAAATCTCACAAACAAAACTCATTGATACTTTGAAAAGCTTTTTTAGTTTCCGTCTCTGATTCTTCCATGGCTGGATCTATCCTTCTCCCTAGTCCCTTCCATTCAATTTCAGGCTTACATTTTTTTTTTTTTTTTGGGGGTTACGCTTTTTTTTTTTTACCCTTCAATTGGGAAAAGAAAATAAAATTCACTAAAGGTTTAGACCATCTCCAATGTATTTCCTTATTTTTAGCTCTATTTCTATAATAGAGATAAGTTTTCTTTACTTTTACTCCAATGTGTTCCTCTATTTTTTCCTCTAAAAAGTTTAACTCTATTTATAGAGGAAAAAATAGAGATTCTCTATTCTCACCTCTATATATATAGAGAAAAAAATAGAGATCTCTATTTTAGAGGTGAGAATAGAGGTGGGTTGGAGCAAATTTGCCTCTAAAATAGAGTTTAGAGACAAATATAGAGGTTGGTTGGAGATACTCTTAAACCAATGAAAATGGTAAACTGATGATTTAAATGACATTTTTCTCGTTTCGATTTTGTTTCCTTCCATGGGTCTTATTCTCTCATATGTATATTTATCAATTTTTACTAGTGTTTTTTGTTTGACAAAATAAAAAAAAAAATTGTAATTTGATAAATTGTCTGATGTTGCCGTGAATCGAGAAGGGTGGTGGCGGCGAAAAAAGGTGGAATAAACTGTAGTGAGCATGGCATTGCGATGCCGATGGCTCACCCCAGCCTTGATGGAATAAAATGTAGTGAGCTTGCCGATCATCCGCAAAACTCGATGCAATCAATTAGTGACATTGACAAGTTGACAACAAGCTAAGGTTGTTGTTTATTGATAAAGCTGCCAATGTACGTTAAATGTAAGTAATCTCTAGCACAATGTCATAAAAATATACGAGTAATCTATGAACAACATCTAACACAATGGCCTTGGCTTGAGTTGCACATTTCAGTTTAATTTCCACTTTGTTCACAAATCACAACCATATGATGTGTATTCTCCATCCTTCAGTGCCTGCCCAAGAAAAAAAAACACAACAACATGTCACCAATGTTTTTGCAAATTTATAAACATGAAGATAAATGTTTTAGTGTTGATCAGTTGAGATATGTCATCTATCAACACAACACCAAGACCAGTACCAATCTATCAACCAGTATCAACATCAAGACACCACTAGATGTTCGAATCATATTATGGTACAATCATCAGCCTAAAAAAGAGGCATGTTATATAGCGAGACCAATCCTGTTAAGGATGATGATCACTATTCCTAACATGTTTTTTCTTTTCTTTTAATTACCGGATCTTCGATCTGAACATGTAATATAAAAACAAACATATCAGATACATTTTTTTTTTTTTTTTTTTTTTTGTCGGCAATTCAACATTTCATTCATAATATTAAGGTACAATGTTCCAGGAAACTACATAACTTTGATTCTTAGTTCTTGCACACTTAGCTAATACATCTGCTACATCATTTGCCTCTCTTGATATCTTACTAAATTTGTAATTCTCTTGCCGTCCAGCCAAAGACATTATGTCTTTAATATAAGTAGAGATTGCAGAATGATGCTGACCATCTCGAAGATACAGAGGGTTTTGCTTCGCCAAAAGTTGATAAAGCTCTGCAGAATCTCCAGAAAAAGTGACATAAGAGTAGCCTAAACATTGAATTTGCATGATCGCCATTCGTAGCGCCTCAGCTTCTGTCTCTAGTGGCGAAATCACTGGAGGGATAGCTGCAGATCCTTTTACAATAAGTCTTGCGGTCTGGTCATAAAGGGCCCAACCAATACCAGCTGGCTGCGATGAAGAGACCCATGAACCATCTACAAAACAAGTGTATTGTGAAGATTGATGAACAGCTTCTTCAAATGTTTGTGGAATAAAACCAGAGAAGTTCTGCTCATTGTTGTGATTTCTCAGTAAATCTATATTGGTTTCTTTATTCCAAACGAATAAATCAACCAAAGATTTACTTATGAGACCTGGAATAGAGCATCTTTTATTTTCAAAGATGAGAGCATTTCTCTGCTTCCATAATCTCCACCCCATTATACAAAAGAGTTGCACAACATTTGCTTGTTTACCATTGAGTTTCATCAGCATATCTATGTTTTCAGAAACAAAATGGGTATTTAGAAAGTCACCTTGAGGGGATGATATAGGCGCCAGGTTCCAAACTTCTTTACTGACCTTGCATTGAAATAACAGGTGATTAACCGTTTCAGAGCAGTCACCACATATTTGACAAGTATTGTCAACTCTCAGCTTCCTCTGTTTGAGATTATCTGCAACAGGAAGAGCGTTATGCAGACATCTCCACCAAAAATGCTTGATTTTGGGTTCCACATTAATTTTCCAAATCTGGGAAAAGAGTTTCTGAGAGCTATCGCTAGTCATATTTCTATTGGCAGCTTGTTTACGCAGTTGATAGTATCCTGATTTAACAGTATAATTACCATCTTTAGTGTAAATCCAAGAGATACTATCAGCGGCTCCTGTAAAGGATGGTCTAATTGTTTTAATCAGAGACCTATCCTCAGCACAAATATATTGATCTATAATCTGCTCATTCCATCTAGAACTACCCGTGATCAAGAGATCCTGCACAACTTCTGGTTTTTGCATGATATTAACCTTCAACTTAGCAGGTCTAGGCGGGTTAGATGGAAGCCAATTATCATTCCAGATATTAATGTGTTGCCCATTTCCAACAATCCATTTAATCCCATTAGAAAGAAGTTTGTTACCTTCCAATATACTTCTCCAAGCATGACTAGATCTCCTCTTATTACCAGCTGCCAATAGGCTGGATTTTGGATAGTACTTATCCTTATATAGCTGTGCTAAGAGAGATTGTGGATTCTGCAAGATCCTCCAGCTTTGTTTGGCCAGCATTGCTATGTTGAAATGTTGCAGGTCACGGATGCCCAAGCCTCCCATTTGTTTTGGATTGTTGATTTTCTTCCACGCAATCCATGATATTTTACGTTGATCTTTGGATGCAGACCACCAGAACCAACGTATTGTCGATGTTATCTGCTTAATGAGCTTCATGGGAAGGAGGAAGCATGACATACAATAAGCTGGGAGGAAAGTAGCAACAACCTTGATAAGGACTTCTTTACCTGCAGGAGAAAGAAGTTGGGAGTACCAACTTTCCATTTTTTGAGCCATTCTTTGTTGTATATAAGAAAAAACATTGTATTTGCTTCTCCCAACAAATTCTGGTAAACCAAGATATCTCCCAAAGCCTCCAATTTTAGTTATCCCCAAAATATGACTAAGATGTTCTTTCTGTTGCGGAGTTAATCCTTTTCCAAAAGTAATCGCAGATTTTTGTAAATTAACTTGCTGACCTGATATTACTGCGTATTGATGAAGAATGTGAAGCAGCGTATTGCACTCTTCATCCGTAGCTTTGCAGAAAAGTAGTGAGTCGTCTGCAAACAATAAATGCGATATTGGAGGACCTTTTTTGCTTGCTCTAAAACCATGTAATTGGCCTTTCAAGTTGAATTCTCGAATTAATGCAGATAAGCCTTCTGAGCATATAAGATAGAGATAAGGAGATATTGGATCACCTTGACGGATACCTCTTTGGGGAGTGATGTTGCCTACTGGATTACCATTAACAAGGATTGAATATAAAACTGTGGTTATGCATTTCATAATCCATGAACACCACTTATCTGCAAATCCCAGCCTCTTCATCATTGCTTCAATGAAAACCCATTCAACTTTATCAAAAGCTTTACTAATATCCAGTTTGAGAGCCATAAAGGGATATTTAAGGTTTCGAATATGAAGCGAGTGAAGCAATTCATGAGCAATAAGGACATTATCGGTAATTAATCGGCCCGGGATAAACGCAGTTTGATTTTCTGAGATTATAAGATGAAGCCAAGGCTTGAGCCTATCAGCCAAAACTTTGGAAATAAGCTTATAAGCTACATTACATAGACTTATAGGCCTAAAGTCTTTCACCTCTTTTGGATGCTCAACTTTAGGGATTAGACATATATGAGTATGATTAATTGCAGGGTCTAAATCTCCATGATGAAAGAAAGACTGAGCAAAGCTAAGCACACCTTTTTTAATAGTTGACCAGTGATCTTTGTAGAAACCTGCTCCCAACCCATCGGGTCCTGGAGATTTGTCTCTGCTCATTTGTTGAAGAGCTTTATATAGTTCTTCTTCGGTGATAGGCTTGGTTAGACTTTCATTCATTTCAGTGGTCACTCTAGGCTGAAGGCAGTCCAGAATAGCACTCATATTCTGAGGCCCTTGTGAAGTATAGAGATTGGTGAAATATTCCTCAATGATACCATGTAGATCTTCGTCCTTATACCTCAGTTCTCCTGTGTTATCCATAAGAGAAATAATGCGATTAAAGTTTCTTCTCTGTTTCGTTTTCGCATGAAAATAGCGAGTATTTCTATCACCTGCTTGAAGCCATTGGACCCTACTCTTAGTGCGCCAGTATTCTTCTTCATTTATGTATTCTTTAGCAAGGTCAGCTTTAAGATCATGAATAAGAGCATAGTTGATTGGGTCCGCTTCATATGCTTGATGCAACAACCTCTTAAGCTCTTGGATTTTTTTCTGGGAATTGTTGATGTGTGTAGACTTCCATCTTGAGAGGCTGTTTCTAAACTTCTTAATTGCTTCATTAAAATTGGCCGCAGGAATGTCTTGACACTGTGTAAGCCAAACTCTCTGAATTTCATCTTTAACTTCTGATTCAAATCGCCATCGATTATCATACCTGAAGAGTTTGTGCCCTCGCCATTTTTTATCACTAGTATCCAGGAGAATAGGACGATGATCTGATCCTCCCCATGGTAATAATTGGACATGAGCTTTAGGGAACAGATCTTGCCATTCAGCAGTAGCCACAGCCTTGTCAATCTTTGATTTTACTCTGTGATTACACCTCTGTCCAATCCAAGTGTACTTGCCTCCAAACGTTTTGACTTCATGTAATCCTGAGGAATTGAGCATCTGTCTAAAAATTCTAAAACTTGACTCTGCTCTGCGAGGTCCTCCAGATTTCTCCTCATTACTCTTTATATCATTGAAATCTCCAAGAACAAGTCTAGGCTTACTTTGATATAAACCCAATGCTGCTAGGCTAGTCATATATTTCCACAGCTCCTTTCTCTGCTTTTTCTCCGGATGTCCATAGAGATAGGTGAGACAAAAGGTGTGCGGAGTACCGTCTTCCGATATGTACATATCAGTGTAATAGAGCGTTGGCGTCTCCAAAAAGCTATTTGAACGCGATCATTCCAAAAAACCGCCATTCCGCCACTGAGCCCATCCGGATTTACAACAAAATTATGGGCGTAGCCAAGATCCTTGCATAAGTTATTCACATAACTATAGCCGTTCTTAGTTTCAACGAGGAACATGACATCAGGTTTAGAAGACTTCCTGATGTCTTTCAAATATGGAATTGTCAGAGGGTTCCTCTTAAGCCCCTGACAATTCCAATGTAATATCTTCATTTTGGAGATGGTGGTTTAGGGGTTGCCACCTCCCCTGTATCGCCAATAGGCTGTTGAGTTCTTTGCCTGTTAGTCACTGGTTGATCATCTTTCAACAGAGCGTCCCCTTTCCTCTTTTGACCTCTATCCATTGTGCTCCTGACTACATCCAACATTTCTTTCAACGTGGGATTGGACTGAGTCTCAATCTCTGTCGGAGTATTTGGCTGAGCTTGCAGGAGTAATCCTTCATCCTTCGTTAGAGAGTTTCCAGTTTTCATAGATGAGAAGGAAGCTCTTCTTATACAAGTTAAAGGTATGGATGTGTTTCCAACCTCTTTGATAGCTATGGGAGTAATCGCCGGAGTGATTGACATACTATCTGTATCCTTCAAGAGAGGAGTAGTTGCAGGTTGTATAGAACCTATGACCTGAACTGAAGAGTCAGAGCGCTCCTTTATAGCCTCATCCTCCTCTTGACAGACACCCTCCATTGGTTCAATCGCTTGCCTCATCTCTATGTTATCCAATTGAAGAATTGGAGCTCCATAATCACATTTTGTAGCTTCATGTAACAGTGAACCGCAAGTGAAACAGAACTTTCGAAGCTTGGAAAATATAAATCTGAGCGTAACAGGAGGGGTTCCCGGCTCAAAAATAATTGACCTAACAAAGATCAATCTATCAGATGTCTTCATGTTAACATGAGCCCAAACCTCTCCTTCAGAATCCGCAGTAGCCTCCAGGATCTTAGTTTCGTCAATATGTCCCAATACTCCTCCTGCTTCTCTTACAATTGGATCGGTTCGAAAGTCTTCTGGGATATGTAAGATTTTGACCCAAAAGGAGATCTTAGAAAGAAATTCAGGTGAATTACGGTTGGTCCATCTGTCTATCGCAAGCATCCAAGAGTTAAAGTGCCACGGACCATTCTCCAGAATCGAGAGGAGATGGTGTTCAGCCTTAAAGAAGAATTGGACTGTACCATCATCATTGATACGGCTCGTAACCCTTCCTTCTAATCTCCAAGCTTTGGGGAGTGCTCCTTTAATCCCGACAGGTTTCTGGTGTTGAGGATTTAGGGCTTTAACAAGCAAGCTTAATCGATTATCAGTGTCTCTTGATCGTCGAGCCTCAGAAGACATCTGCAGTGGCTCTCTTTCAGATCCTAAATTGAGATTTTGTAGCTTTTCCCATAACTCCTTCTCCATTTTTGCTGGATTAAGAATGAAATATTAACAGCAGCCAACAATAATTAGACCGGCAAGGTCACCGGAGATGAAGATCCGCAAGAAAACGGCAAGAAAATCACCGGAAAAATGAGTCGGTGAAGAGTCGGTGGAGGATCGCTTTAGAATCGCCTATTATCACATACATTTAGCACTTTCAATTTTGTTAACTTTAATACATATCAGATACATTTAGAATTCATCTTGGCTATTTCGATGTACCAAAATACATTAAAAAACAAAAAATATAATTAAACTGTTTGTTAGTGATTTTTTCACACTTTTCTATCTCTCTCTCTCTTCTTTTCTCCTCTTGCTTCTTTTTCTTTGCTGGAAAAAAAAAAAAAAGAAAAAGCAAAACTTGTTGATTTCATCTGCAAATCGTTTTTTTTGTTCCAACTTTTGCTTGGAAATGACTCAAGAAGATTCATCGCGTGGATTAACAAGTGTAGGCAGAAACGACTTCACACATCGGTTCGCTGATAGATACAAGGAATGGTTAAGGACAACTGGTGAAGAAACAAAACAGGAGGAGGATCGTGTGGAAACTAATTCTGAACTTCCGGCTTATGAAATCTATGGTTTCGAGAATGAGATCAAATCATTGCAACACTTCTTGTTGGATCAAAAGGTTTACAAGGAGTTCAAGAGTCTTGTGATTGTCGGAGAACACGGTGTTGGGAAGACAGCATTATGCCAGAAGATCTTCAATGATTATGATGTGAAGAGTGTTTATGCCCCATGGATTTGGGTTTCCATGCTTAGCAATGAATCTAAGGAGGGACTTGATGGGAAAATATGTGTGTTGAAGAAGATCTTGAAGGCTCTCGGAGTTGAAGATTCGATGTTCGAATCCATCCGTAGAGAAGTAGTAGAAGAAGTTTCAAATAGGCGGGAGCTGGAGAAATTGATGGAGAGACAGCGAAAGAGAAGGAGCTCTCTGCTCTGCTCTATGCACTTCACTTGAATCTGAGGTGGAAGAAGTACATGATTGTGTTTGATGATGTGCGAGAAGAGGATAATTGGAACGAGGTGCTTCAGGACGGTGAGGAGAAGCAATGGGGAAAGTATCTTTCAGATGGATTCCCTACAGGATCTGGTGGGAGAGTCATATACACGACCAGAGATGAGAATCTAGCGAAGAAATTAGTTGCAGAGAAACATGAGATTCATTGTCTTTGGCCGCTGTCTGATTCTTACAGTGTTTGGAAGATATACGAAGCAATGATCTTAAAGAGAGAGAAAGAGCCTCCAAGGAACGACAAGAAATGTATAGATGAGCTGATGAACAAGTCTCGTGGTCTTCCTCTGGCTGCTAGACTGCTGGCTAAACTTGATCCTGTGTTGCTTGAAAATGAAAAAGCTGACCAGAACGGTTCTAACTACTCAGTCAACAACCCCACTTCAGAAGAGAATAAAACTACTCAACCTCTGTAGACTTTAGAAGATTGCAGAGCCCTTTTTATTGTGTCATCAATCCTTGTTTGTGTTTCTCTGGTTTAATGTTGTCTGTTTGTATTTCTGCTGTATCAATAAACCAGAATCTCCAAGTAGAGTTTCTTCAATGTTTCTCGAGTTAAGTGTCTGAAAGATAAGAGATAGTTCCTTGTGTTCTCTGCACTTGTAGATGTAGACATTGTATATCTTCTTTAGAACCACAAAACGTATCGCAAGATAAGCAAAGCAAACACTCGAAAACTCTTTAATTCAATTGCTCACAAACAACAACACTTGAAAGTTGAAACCATACCAGCAAGCCATCAATTGGAAAACAATAAGGAAGCAACCACACAACAACAAAAAGGATGGACAACGCAGAAGAAAACCAATATCGATCTATGATCCTCTTGTTTCCTTCCTCGGACTGGACATGTGCCGCACTTAGTAGCTTCAAGGACAACCAGGACGAAGATCTATCATTGTAAGATCAATTTTTCAACTGGTTGCTTGGTTTTAGACACCTACATTGGATGACGAAAAAACTGTGGGAGTTCATGTTCAGTGAGCTGAACTAAGAGTTCATGTTCATGTTCAGTGAACAAAACACATAAGCTGTGACCGATCTCCACATCTCTCAACTGTGAGATGAAACGCAGCGTTTCATTTCTCTGTTAAAGACACGGCTCCGTTAAATAAAGTCATAACCGAGGAAGCGTCTCCGTTTTAACGGATAAGAGTGATTGTGACGGCGTTTATTTTTTTTGTTTTTTATTCCTTTCATAGAGAAGAAAACTCTCGCTGATTCGGAAACGATAAACTTCCGATTTTAGGCAGAGAGAGAGAGAGGGCAGTGCGATTTCCTCTTCCGAAACCCTAATTTCCGAGCCAAATTGTCCGTTTACTTCAAACTTTGCTGAAGATGATACATTTGTTCAGCTTACTGTGCTAGAGATTATAGCCATGAAATTTGTGATCTTTTCGTTGGCAAAAGTATCATACACTTCTTCGTTATCAATTTCTAGCACAGTATAAAATCTTGACCAACGATCATATAGGTCCTTTGTTTGTTTAGCTCTCATCATCATCTACCTTCTGGTGAAAATAAATTTTGATGATTATATTGTTCTTGGCGTTTGTGGTGGAAGTTTGAATTCATTGGCTGGTTCACAACAAATTTATCTGGGTTACTGATTGAGAAGCCCTTTTCTATGGCTGACTAATATAAATGATAGTGTTAGATTTGATGTCTGTGTTTGTCTAATGATAAGGAAGATGTATAATTTATAGGCTCTTTGATCATCATACTGTGTTATTGAGTTTGATGTTGAACAGCACTATTATATCTTATATTCATGAATTTGCAAACAATATTGGTGAATTGCAGGCACTCAAGGATGGACCTCTAACATCAGCACTCGTTTGCACCTGCATAACCAACCAAGATATATATATATATATATCATCTAGTCCTAGAGGATTTTGCTGACACTGTCGTCACACTTCTCTTCACTGGATGTTTCTTCTTGGTAACACAGCTCAGTTGCCACAGTATAAGGCTCCGGTTGTGGATTCGTCATTTCTAAATTGGTGTTTCCAGAAGCCCATCCTTTCCTTTTCAGCTTTTGTTGTGCTTATCTCCTGCCTCTCTAGATGCTGGATTTTTGATAGTGGAAATGAAAGAGTGAAGTATAGCCTTCCATACACATCGACGTGTACTTTTCTACTGGAGAAGTAGTATCAATGCCCACAAGTTAGTTAGTCTCTCCCCTCTGATGGAATTGGAATCTTGCACAAGCCCTATCAAGAAGTGAGTTTTTTGGTTTCTCAAGCTGTCTTTCCTTTTTCTTGTGTTTGCTTTCTAATTTTCCAAAGATTTCTTGCTGGTTTGGCTTTCAAGTGTTGTTGTTTGTGAAGAGTGGAGCGCTTGCTTTGCTTATTATGTGATACTTGGTTGTATCTCAAAAATGTGTTTTATTATGGCTGATGAGAGTGCCTTCATTTCATTTAAACATCTACTGGTGAGTGTTTCGCTGCTGGTAATGTGAGTTGAAGCATGAAAGAAAAATGTAGAACTTTTGTGTTAAGAGTATATCCCTCAATAGTTCGTTGAACGACAACCCTTGCTAATTGCCACATCCTAATCTATTAGGATTTTTCAAATTGTTAGTAATCAGTTGTTCATGTTGGAGGTCTAGCTCGTCATACATGGTTATTGGGGTTGTTGTTGATCAGTCATCAGTAACGTATCCTGAACTGGAAAAATTATACTTATCCAGTTATTCTAAATGTTCTTTAGATTTTCATTTTGCTAAGTTTAAACATATATGATTAGCTTTACATATCTAAGTTTGCACATCTAAGTTTAAACATACATCTTCATGTTTCTATCAACGTCATTGACTAAAAGTTGCAAGCAAAGAAGTGAAAATTTATTCTTATTGTTCATATTTGATTCCAGGCACTTACTTCACTAAAGACATAAGATAGCTCAAGTTGTGCACAAAGTATTCAATACAGAAGCAACAGTTGAAAATGATACATGCAACTCAATCAATATCCCTTACATTCAGTTTGTTTCGGACGTCTCCGTTGCTGATGAACCCAACTGACCTCCAAGGCCAAGGTGAGCCAATGCTAGCCAAACAAAAACGAGGAGCTCTCCTCCTTTGCTAAGCTGTTCCATACGCGCTGTAGCATCACAATTGCATGCTGCGTGGAATAGCAACTCCATCCACACTTTGCTTACTACACTCCACATGTTTTCTTCACGCATCTTGTTGAGTTCTTTCGCCAGTGCCCTAGCCTCGAACAACACAGATTTGCTTTCGTTTCCCTTAACATTCCTTGGTTGAATCTCTATCCTGACCGAAAGAATCTCATGGCTTGCTCTTTTCACACTCGAGTTCTCAATATGCCGCCTCTTATAGAATTTTTCAGCTTCGGCCAACGTGTCTCTAAACCTGATCTTCCCTATCCCTGCAACCTCCGACATCAGCTTTGGCTGCATAATCAACAGATACATCATGTAGTCTGAGAGGATTTTGCTGAACTCACGGTCATCACAGTTCTCTTTAGTGGACGCTTCTTCTTGGTAACATAGCTCAGTTGCTATATGCCACTGCATAAGGCTTCGGTCGTAATCAACATCTGCTATATAACGCACCAGTCGTTTTGTATCCGCCATTCCTAACTCGTTGATGTCAGAAGCCCATCCTTTCCTTCCGGCTTTTGTTTTGCTTCTCTCTTTGTCTGGACGCTGAAGTTTGGATTTAAGCTGAGTAAATATGAAAACCCACAGCTCTTTTGTCAAGGGTTCACTGTGTACAGATCTTATCAGAATGATCTCATCCAGCAGATCATTAATGCCGAGGAAGTCGGTAATGTAGTTGCCAATTAACGTGAAGAAGTGAGGTATCATTAACCAGAACTCAACAAAAATGATAATACAACGAGTTACTGGATTTTTTCTTGACAACATATTGATGACATATCTTATATACTGCTGAAGATCATGATGCCAAATAGCGATTGTTTCGAACAATTTCCTGAAGGTGTTGATAGCGTAAATGAAAGGGTGAAGTATGGCTTTCCACACAAGCCGACGTGTTCTACCCTTGACATCATGGATCCTCTCTATATCTGCTTTCACAGAGTATGCAATAAAGTTGAACAGCTTGATGCTTCCTGCCCATCTTTGGATTAGAAACGGCGTGTTAAGCACCTCATGATTGAGTCCTCCACAGCTTTTTTGCTTCTTCCAGTGCAGCTGCTTCAAACCAAGGAACCACTTGAGTGCGGGGTCTATCCATGAGCCGCTGTCTACTTCGTCTTCGTTTATCCTACTGATAACAGCAAATGTCCAGTCTGAGGGCAGGATCATGAGGAGAGATACAAGATCCAGAGCTATTCCAACTAAGAACAAAGTGTAGGTGATCACGATATCTGCTCTATGAAACTCATGGCTCTTCTTGGGTCTATAATGAAACATGCAGAATGCTGACAGAAGAGATCCCAAAGCTATAGTTCGAGTCAAAGCTCCAACCCAAGTATGAAGAACCGAAACTTTTGTGTATAAACCTTCGTAGATAAAACCGAGCTCCATCTCTAAAATCCTCAAAGCTTCTTCGTCTGTTAACTTACTGAAGAATTCCCTGCTCTCTTCTCTTTGGTCAGAGCTAAAGATGTTATTGACCATAAGACTCCTGAAGTTATTGAAGAACCAGAAAGCAAACTGAAGGATATCGAGGGGTGCCAAATCTCCAGCAGGCTTTTCTAGCCTTAATGGTCTTATTTGTCTCCCATACTCTTGCATGTTGTTTTCAGTAGGCATCGAGTCTTCTTTTCTCGGGCGGTGGGTCTCATCGGGATCCGAATCAGGAACCTCGAGCATTGAACCCCTGAACTTGTCTGAGCTCGCGAGATACAAGGCGATCGTCCTTTCCAGATACTTTAAGGTCCCAGCAATGAACAAAAGCAGTATGATCACCCAAAGAGGATTAGGTAGAGATTGGATAACAACATATGCACCTGAAAGAGCCTGTAAAGCCAGGCCAAGAAAGTGTCTGTGCCAAAGAGCATTGTCCTCAAGAGAGTATGCAGTGATTGTGTCTGGTCCACCAAGATGTAAGAGCAAGAACGGTGCCCACAAAGCCATGAGCTGCTGGTCTTGAGGAGGATCATCTGGCTTCAATTCTTTCCCTTGATTCTTGGCGATAAGTCCAATCACAAAGTTTGCAGACCAATCTGCTAAGAGATAAGACAACCACAGGACTAAAGCCAGGAACCTGTTGGATGTTCTTTTCCTCAATGGTGCTAAGATGATGAGAATTGTCTGAATCGAGAGACTGAGAATTACAATTCCTCTGATGTTCCAGGCGTCCCAGACATCTTTGATATGTGCGGGAATCACTTGTACCATCTTCGTCTTCTTCTGATTAATTACTGTGATGAATGTTTGGATTCAGAGAGACTAAGATTTACCAACATTCAGCCGTTGACTTTTTTCAATCAAAAGTCCTCTGGTCATTTTTTTTTGCGATTTAATATTAGAAGGGTAATGGGCTTAATAAATACTACAATCACGAAATAGTTGAATCTTCTACTTAACATTTTTGAAGTACAAATTTGCTCTTTCCAATCGGGTCGGATTTTTTTTTATTTTGACCCGGAAATCTTCAATCGCATCTTTCCTTATTTTTTGGCAAAATTCAAAAACGAAATTAATTAATAAATTCTAAAAATATATATTTTCTCAACTAATTACTACACCCAAACTCTTTATTTATGGCATATTCTTTCTGATATTTATATATAAGGAAACCAAATATGATGATTTAATGCTAATATAATAAATTTGAGCTAATTTCCTAAAACTTCTCTACCTAATTTAAACAAAAATATATGATTCTCATTTCACTTTTAATTGATTTATATTTATATTATTTTTAATTATTATAAAATATATATATAGTTAATAAAATTTTAGATTTTTTTCTACATATGCTATGTTTCAAATTTTTTAAAACGGACATATATTACTCAATCAATAAAGAAAAAAATATGTGTACAATCTAAAGTACATATTTGCTCTTTTTTGGGTCAGTTTTGTTTTGTTTTTTTTTTTAATTTTGACCCGGATTTTTACCCTTAATTAAGTCTTTTGGATACAAATAATGAGACTTTCCAAAAATAATCCTACCAATTTAAATGATTGATTTCGTATATATATGTAGTTATTACTAAATATATATCTACTTAACATTTTTGAATTACATTTTTGCTCTCTCATCGGGTCGGATTTTTTTTCTGATTTTGATCCGGAAATCTTCAATCGGATCTTTCCTTAAATTTTGGCAAAATTCAAAAATGAAATTAATTAATAAAATCTAAAATATATATATTTCTCAACTAATTATTATATCTAAACTCTTAATTTATGGTATATTCTTTACGATTTTTATAGATAAGGAAATCAAATATGATGATTTAATGCTAATATAACAAAATTTGAGCGAATTTCCTAAAATCTCTCTAATTAGTTTAAACATAAATATATGATTCTCATTTCACTTTTATTTGATGTTATATTTAAATTATTTTGAATTATTATAATATATACATATAGTAAATTTTAGTTTTTTCTGCATATGTTATAATTCAAATTATTTTTAAACAGACTTATATTACTCAGTTGATAAAGAAAAAAAGTATGTGTGCAATTTATATTAACATTTTGAAAAACAAATTGCGCAATTAATCAGGTCGTTTTTTTTTATATTCTGACCCGAAATTGAGTCATTCAGATCTTTTCTTAATTTCTACAATTATCTAAAATGGGAGAATATACCACGGGTGAAATCCTAAAATTAACAAATCAAAATACAATTGTAAATTATTTTTACGGGTTGGTCCAAAAACACTTAATTTAAAATATATATATATATATATATATTTATATATATTATGAAAACCATTTGAAAGCAAACTTTTAAATTGATTAGAATTATATGTCTTTTAAATAAAAGTGTTATTAAAAAAATTACAAAATGATGTTTAATTTCACAGGACAGAATTATATGGTGGGATGGGTTTGAGTCGATATTAATATGGGACAATATACCACGGGTGAAATCTTAGAATTAACAAATCAAAATACAATTATACAATCTTAAACACTAAACAAAATAAATACAACTTAAAATTTTTATTTTTTAGATACAACGCATATGATCCGCGGTATACAACAGAAAATATTATACACAGCAAATTCATTAGTTTATAAAAAGAATTAAAAAAAAATCAAATAATTAAATCCTAGTGAAATATTAGAATCATTGACAAGATACAAACTCATTGACAAGATACAAACTCATTGACAACAACATTCGGAATCGGTTAAGCACTATCCGAGGGGATGGAAGCTCGAAATATGAAGGTGAAATTCAGATACGTTGTTTTGTTCTTTTGATATAATTTAACATTACTTCACAAAAAAAAAGACTATTAGTATTAAGATGTATAAATTCAAAAGCTGAATTGCGAACAACTATATTAGTGTTCTAAAGTATGTTAGAGCAGGATTATCGGAGGTATCTTAGACATGTCTTAGGGGAATTTTTTTTAAAATTTAATGAATAGATCAAACAAATGCTAAGATGTATATCTTATTTAAGATGTTGTTGATGAGTTTAGATATGAGCACGTGTCATGCTCTGATTAATTTGAAGAAACAACAAAGCCAAAAAAAAAACCTCTCTCTTTTTTTTTTTATTTCTCTCTCGACCTTTTTCTCTCTCTCTTTTCCTCGAAACCAAAACGGCGAAATCCTGCTCTGAGGCTGTTGATCCGACGAATTGAGAGGAGATATGAGATGGAATTGCGTGTTTCATCTCACGTAATCAGAGCTTCTCGGTGGCGTCTCTCTATCCCTGCAATTCTCGAAGCTTCCGCCGGAGAAATCGAGCCGACTCGTCGTCATCCGTCGAACTGAGAGGAGAAATGAGTGGGGATTGCGTTTTTGATCTGTCTGTATCATGATCTACATGAGAAAGGGTACGAATCTCTGTAATTTCTCTGATTTCATTAGTACATCGTAAATTAGGGTTTATGGATGTGTAGAAAATTAGGGTTTTCACAATTGGGAGAGAAATTAATAGCAAAATTAGTATTCTATGATGTTAGGGTTCTTAACTGATTGTGATTTGCTGTTCTGTCCAGCCACCTGGAAAAAGAAATGTCTTTGTGCTTCATAAATTTAAGAAATTAGTTAGAAAAGGTTCAGATAAAAACATATTTTTATACTATGACCATATATCATTTTAGTTGTAATATTATGTCATTGCCTAATTGAAATTTTTACTTTGAAGGAGAATTTCAACTCACTGGTCAACATAGCAACATAAGTTGAAGTGGAAACCACAGCTTTTGGAGCTTACTGCAGCCAGAGTTGAAGTGCAGGAGAAACAAGTGGAGTTGTGATAATGAGCAAGGGTATGCGTATGAAAATGCATAGAATCAGATGCATAATCTTGCTTCATTATCAAATGTGATGGTAACACGTTTGTGTTTTTGTGCATGATAGACAAGTTGCTTCACTAGCAACACGTGAAGCAAAAAGACAAGTTGATAAGAAGGGGACATGTTGAAGAGGACAAGATTCCAGCAAGTACACGGACACTACAAGTCTTGATTCTAATCACATGTTTGAATGAGTTTGCTTTTTACCACAAGTCCTCTCTGTTTGTTCACGGACACAAGTATTCATTGTAACCACATGTTTCACTTTGCTTCTTAACCATGTATATGTTTTGTGTAGTCCACTATAAATATGACCATGTAATATCACTTTGTAATATCAATTGTCCAGACTCTTTCCCTCTTACTTTGCTTCTATTTCTTTTCTACTCTAAAAACAGTTACTTGCAACAAAAATCTCCAAGGCTTCTTTTTCTTTTCTACAACTAAAATCTCCAATTTCTTTTCTACGCCAAGGCTTCTATTTTTACTCAAAAAAATCCAAAACAATTCTACATTGTAAATGGCATCATCTTCCCATGACAATTTAGAAGAAGCGTTGGACGAAGAATATAGTAATATTTTACAGCAAGAAATAGATAATTCTTTGTATTCTTACGGTGATCGTCCACAAACCGCAAAACCGAGAAAAAAACGAGTCCATATTGAAAGAAATCGAGAAGAAGGACACATTCAGTTATGGAACGATTATTTCGCAGAAAATCCAACTTTCCCTCCTAATCTATTCAGACGCCGTTTTAGAATGAACAAGCCATTATTCATGCGTGTTGTTGATCGACTCTCCACAATTCCATTATTCATGCGTGTTGTTGATCGACTCTCCACAATTCCATTCTTTCAACAAAAAAGAGATGCTACAGGAAGATATGGTTTTTCTACACTACAGAAGTGTATAGCAGCAATTCGTATGCTTGCATATGGTTTAGCGGCTGATGCGGTTGACGAATACCTCCGGATAGGTGCAACCACTTCGATGAAGTGCATGGAACATTTTGTTGATGGAATTATTGATTGCTTTGGAGATGAGTACCTACGACAACCCACTGCAGAAGATCTTCAACGACTACTCCTTATTGGAGAGATTCGAGGATTTCCCGGGATGATGGGAAGCATTGATTGTATGCATTGGGAGTGGAAGAATTTCCCTACCTCTTGGAGAGGACAATATACACGTGCCTCTGGAAAACCAACGATCATTTTAGAGGCTGTAGCTTCCCAAGATCTTTGGATATGGCATGCGTTTTTTGGACCTCCAGGTACTTTAAACGATATCAATATTCTAGATCGCTCTCCGGTTTTTGATGACATCTTAAAAGGGCGAGCACCAGCAGTAAATTATACAGTCAACGGGAACGAGTATCATTTGGGTTACTATCTCACGGATGGCATTTATCCTAAATGGGCTACCTTTATCCAATCTATTTCACTTCCACAAACAGATAAAGCATCTTTATTTGCAACCCATCAAGAAGCTTGTCGTAAAGATGTCGAGCGTGTTTTTGGAGTTTTGCAAGCTCGCTTTGTCATTGTCAAAAATCCGGCTCTTATTTGGGATAAGGTAAAAATAGAAAATATTATGCGAGCATGTATAATATTTCACAACGGGAACGAGATGGGTATACTCTGTTTGATACTACCGAACAAGCGGAATCTGCAGGAAGTTCACGGGTGGATTTCACATATTCTACAAATATGCCTTCAAATTTCTTCGATACGATGGCCACTAGAACTCGAATTCGTGATCGAGGTATGCATCTACAATTGAAGAAGGATTTAGTCGAGCATATATGGACAAAATATTCCAGAAATTAAGTTTAAAACATTTGTGCTTTATGTTATTTATGTTATAAATTGTATTTCATGTATGTTTTAATTTTTTTTTAATTTGCAACAATTATTAAATTTTCTATAATTATAAATTTTATTTTTGTATTAATATTTTTTTTTTCTAAGAACCACATGTTAAGAACCTACCATTAATCACACAAAAATCTTAACCCAAAAATACTATATCTTAACTATCACTTTTACAAATATATTACTTAAATATTCCTAAGATTTATTTTTAAGATAGTACCAATAATCATGCTCTTATACGCTTAACGTACAACATATCACTGTATAGCCTATAGACATATGTGGCCATTTAGGTAGGGATTATATGTAAAATAACAATTAATTTGTCAAAATATCCATATATAATCACAATTTTATAGTAACAAGATAACATTAAAAGAATACTCATGGCTATTATATAAATTAATACCAAAATAATTAATCAATATTTTTTTTTTTGTCATCCGTAATTAAATAGAGCTCAAAAGAGTCATTCCTTTGGAATGTTGTTTACATAAGTGATATGAAACGGTTATGTACGAATTTTTCGTGCCAGATGATCTGCTTTTACATTAGCACAACGAGAATTTAATCAATATTCAAATAATAAAAAACAAACAGACGTCAACTAAATTATCTCATAAATATTTTTGACGTTAAATTAGAGCAAAAATATGTAGTTTAATAGCAGTCTCAGTCGCTCCAGTGTGAACATCCATTGTGCTCAGCTTGAGTCCCCCATTGCTACTAGAAAATTTCTGGCAATGCCTTGTTCAGCAACCACTTGGTTGCTAATTCACCGTGCAAAAATCGTAAGAAAAATTATGCTTTGTAAGTTTTCAATTTAGTTTGTATTGATTACAATTTTTATTATACTTTTAGATTATTTTTATATAAGTTAGTGTTATCTCTTCTTGATCGTACTGTTTTTTTTTTCTAGGAGAACACATTCACAAATTAGCGGGGTTATCAATGAAAATAAAAAAACTATATTCAAACGGCTTAACCATGTATATACTGATATGTAATCCTAACTAGATTTTAACCCGCGGTACACCGCGGGGCTATATTTTCTTAAAAAAATCAAAATGTAATTTGTTTGATAGATTATTTTGATTGTTAATTTTAGGATTTCACCCGTGGTATACTATCTTTTATAAATATCAACCCAAACCCGTCCCATCATATTACCCGTCTCGTAAAATTAAACATCATTTAGTTATTTTTCTTTTTAATAATACTTTTATTTAAAAGCTATATAATTCAAGTCAATTTAAAAATTTCTTTTAAATGGTTCCCATAAGATTAGATTTGGAGATTTTGGAGATTGGTAAGTTTAGATTTTATATGGTGATTTAAGATTATTTAATTAATGTGGTTTTGCCAAATAAATAAAAAGAAGGTAACGTGATTAAGATGGGCCTAATATTGGGCCTAGTTGTTTATTTTTTTTCATTAAATGTTAGAAGCAGAATTTTCGGAAGTATCCGATTTAATAAACCGGGTCAAACGTTATTAAAATAAACCGACCCACCAGTGGCATTCCATTGTAAATACATTCTAACTCCAGGATTCATTTGCTAAAAGTCATCCAAAAATGTATATATAGATGTAATTTGTTTTGCCAGAATAATATCTAAAAATCCTAAACTACGTGAATGTCGACAAGATTGCAAATAGTCCATGCCTATATTCAATTAGTACAATTCAAGAAATAGATGACCTTGTAGAATTGGGAACCAATATCCAAGGTTAGTGATACAATCACTTAGATTCTTTACTTTAGTTGGTTATATTTTTCAATTAGTTAATCTATATATACATTTTTGAATGACTTTTAGCAAATAAATCCTGGAGTTGGACCTTATTTACGGATGAATGCCATTGGCATTAATTATTTAAATTTGAAAAATATTACTTAAAGATATTACCAATACGATTTGGAGAATCATAAATTCATATCTTCCTTAATTTTCTGAGTCATTAATGTGATAATCTTTAGGAAATATTTCTCTGTAAAAAAAAAAATCCACATTAATGAAGGCATTAAAATCGACACTAACAATTAAATTATTTAGATTTTCAATTATTTTAAGATTCTTATATCTTATTTGATATTTTTTTTTTAATATCTCATTCTTTAATTACTGCGTTTAGAATTTATTGGTTGTTACCTATTTTTTGGTGAAATTTATTGGTTGTTACTTAATAAGTAATTATGGTGCGTTTATTTTAGTTAATATCTAATTTAAAGGATTTGTTTTCTTTTATTATTAATAAATGAATAACATGTATAGAAATAAAAGATTTTTTTTGCGACTCCATAATAAAAATATTAAACTCTTATTTTCTACATTTCTTACACATAATATCCTCTTATTCAATAACAAAAAATATATATTACATATTTTTAAAAATATTTATAATATTTAAATTATATAAAAAATTTGTAATATTAATATTATTTCAACTCTATACAAATTTAATATATATGTATATATATCTTATGGGAACCATTTAAAAGAAATTTTTAAATTGACTTGAATTATATAGCTTTTAAATAAAAGTATTATTAAAAAGAAAAATAACTAAATAATGTTTAATTTCACGGGACGGGTAATATGATGGGACGGGTTTGGGTTGATATTTATAAAAGATCGTATACCACGGGTGAAATCCTAAAATTAACAATCAAAATAATCTATCAAACAAATTACATTTTGATTTTTTTAAGAAAATATAGCCCCGCGGTGTACCGCGGGTTAAAATCTAGTACTTTCTAACTTTCTTTTAGGGTGTTCATAATTTGCTATGTAGGAGATGTTAAATAGATCAGACATTATTTTCTGCTACTCCTACATCATTATTAATCCAGTCATGCATGTAAGTCATGAAAGACATCTGAAAGATGCAATGGCAATTATTGATGAAGCGCAGTAAACCACACACACAAATATACATGTGAATGAACTAATTTTTTTTTTTGTCAATATATTAATCTCAAAGGAAAGTAGTACTGTACAAAAGCCATTGAGTCCTAGCCAAGGTAAACCCTGCTACAGAAGACACCTTATGGGAAGGGCCTTTACAAAAGAAATACTCTCAACAAGGAGCAGTAACAACAGCAAAACCAAAAGCATAGATAGAGGATTACACTCTCTCATCTTCGAACAAGGAAATTGAGCCAAAACGGATGCCACGCCGCTACATAGGACTGCAGCCTGCACTCCGAGGTGACGCTTTTCGCAATGAGACTAGCTCCTCTGTTTGCTGAAGAAGGATCCACAACCAATCTCCAATCCTGAATTAACCTCAAGGCTCTCCAAATTTCACCTGCATGATATCTGAAGGAAGGCCAAGCATTTGGACGTAGGACAGCACCTACCAAATCCGACTCCTCACACGCAAAAATAACCTTGTTTAAGTGGTGGCTGCTCATGCTTTCAATTGCCCATATTAGACAAAGTAACTTGGCCTCATCCTTAGAGATGACATTTGGAAAAGCCC